TTGCATCTGCTTTCCTGTGCAGCATTGCGCTTTCATTCTGTTGCTGTGTTTTTTCTCACATCCCCCAAAGAAGTTTATGAAGCTGAGACTAGGATTGATCTTTGTTTGAGACAAAGTCATCTTTATAATTTACATAGGTGCTTTTTCCTTAAAAAATGCACACCACAGAATCTGCTAAACCTTCTTGCTGTTGCTCTCAAATACTTGCATCTGTTAGGTGAACACTTGCGTATCTTGCATATACGTATATGCATATATATGGTAAACATCAAAAGAAATCCCATAGCTTGCAAACATGTTTCCTGTTGCATAACATAGAAGCAGAAAGTCTCAAAGATTCTGTTCCAGGAGTTGTTGCAGCTTTGCTGCGGTTTCAGCTGGTTTCACACAGTATAGGAAATCCTTACTAAACACCTTATGGGCAAAAAAGGTTCATGTCTTCTGTAAGGAGACTGGCCAGAAAGGTGCTTCTGCTTCAGCAATATTGTCCTTTAGCAAATGGTCTTCTGAAAACTGAGGTCTGCTAAAGACTGAGGTCTGATCCTTTTGGCAAAATCTTCCCCCATTTGTTAATGGAAATGAGAGTGAGTGAAGTTGTGATATGACACTTACAGGGTAGGAAAACCCACCTTATTCAAATGTGTTCTGTCTTTCTGGATAGTCAGGATTTTGACATGGATAAATATTGCATAGTTTTGGCATTAATTTGAAGCTTTAACTGAATTACTTGATCTTTCTGAGTCTACAAAAAGTAAGTTGGAAGCCTTAAGAGCAGTTTGTAACCTTGGTGCCTCAAAGGCTTGCTGTAAATACAACGGGAAGAATGTTCTGCTGTAGTGTTTCAACACTTCTCTTTTAAGTTTTGTTGGGGAAGGTGACAAACAAAAACTAATTGTATAAATGTTTAAAAGTGTTTTGAAATATATAGTACAAGCTTGGTTAAACATTGCATGTTAAAAACCTGTTTTGGATTCAGTGTGAGAATAGCTTAACTTCTGCCCCCCGAAATCCCATTTTTCATACATCTATCACCTGGGGAATCTTAAAAACTTCCATTGGCAAAAGTTAATTAAGACTTCAGTGTCATAATACCATCACAAGGCCTCCTGCTCTCATGTTTTTGCAAAGGTTATTGCATTAATGAGGTATAAAAACAGATTAACTACTAATCCAAGGTGTATGCTGAATTGCTCCCTTAAAGTAAGGAGTTCAAATAATCAAGCACCTCATTTAGTTAAGAACAGGAATATGCAATTCCGAAACTACTTCAGAAATATATTTTGGTCAATTCAGAAGCCAAAGACGTCTTGCACAGAATTCATTTTGGACAAGCTTAAAACTCTGTAAGAATAGCTTATAATATAAATACTTTATTTTCCTCATTCTTCCTAACGAGGAACAGAAAAGCACACATTTGATTTTTGTAGAGACAAGCAGTTTAGGATCTTTCTTTTTTAGGATTTTGGCCAGTAAAAGCAGAGCAGGACTTTTGTCCTTTGTGGAAGAAAAATGACAATTCAAAAGGGAATGTAGATTGTAGGCATTGGTTTCTGAAGAACAGAGGCAACTGATGAATTTCATACAGAAGAGTGTGCTTGGGAAAATAATCTCTTTGAAGTTCTTTTTTATTGCTGCAATTTGAGAAACTAGAGCAGCTCAGACTGCATCACTCACAGATACGTTTGTATATGACTCAGGCAATTCAATTTTAAGCGACTTTTGCCGATTAGCAACTTTTTTTTAACTTGCAAAATGCATTTCACTACTAAATGGCTGGTGAATTCATAGTTTAAAAATATATATCAAATTCAGTTTTTCAGTTTAGGTTTGTGGTTCCTCTTTCTTTTTGGAGCACTTGAGCATCACTGCAGCTACAGCACTGCATAGTGTGGTGGTCCTTGACTAGTTTCTAGACTAGGGCATTTGCATAGTAATCCTAAAATACGGTGAACGGTGTTTGGAATCTTTGGTAGTGATCCTACCAAACTACATAAAAAAAGATTCTGCTCAAATCCATCACGAATGGCTACATCATTAAAAACCCAACTGGACACAAAAGCCTGATGTAGTACAGCATGCGTGTTTGTGGTCCAGCCCTTAGGAGGAGACAAAATGCTTGGCTTCCTGTTTTATTGAAATTAGGTGATTTCTGCCTGGCCCCGTAAGATGATGTGTTCATTGCGGGGGGTGTTATTTCATGTGTATGAATTGGGAGGGAACCTGTGAGGGAGGGTGCAGAATTACGAGTACAAGTAGTGCGTGTTGTCACATTACATCCTTGTTTTCCCCTTGAGGTGGCTTCCTGGGCATTTTATTCCTTGGGTGTCTTTGATTTTCAGCAGTGAGTGAACGTTATGCTGGTTTCTTAAACGTATGCACAAGCAAATTCTGTCTGGTGGTTTGATACTTCTTCTCAAGGTGGCACGCAAGCTTTTTATTCCCAAGAAAGCTCTTTCAGTGCTGGATGAAAAATGTAATATATGGGAAATTAGTTCAACTGAAAAACAAAGTTCTGCCAAGAGGAAAATTTTCACACCGAAAGTCTGTCACGAAATATGAGTTATTACGATTGCTGAGTTTACAAATTACTGTCAAACCATTGTTAATATGGCTGTTTAGGGCAGTCCACACTTAATTATTAGCTACTGCGATACTATGCCATTATTTCTTCTGGGTCTATATACTTTTATTTACAGTGCTTCTGCTATTGGGATTTTCAGGCAGCTGTGTCAATAGCAAACCTTCCCCTTTGAATGTGGAGCTGAAGAGTTTTGTCTGTCAGATTCACTAGGAGAAAACGCTACTGTTACAGCTACAAAATCAAACAAACATATAAACCAGTGTTTATATCAGTTTCTTGTGGGTAAAACATTAAAAAGCAATGTATGAAGTATAGTTAGAGTAACTTTAACAACCTTCAGAACACGTGTCTGAGGGATGAAATGGTATTGGTGTCGAGTTGAACTTCAGAAGGAGAGCATCTGGGTGAAAACTTGGACTGAATTGCATTCAATGAAATACTTTGAGAATTTAAATGCACTTCAACTTCAGATCATGCATATGGAGTGGAGAGCACACTATCTTCTGGAAGTGCCATGGGATGTCCAAGATCTACCTCTCACCCATGGGATAGCCCTGTCTGGCTCACATCGATAGTCTGGAGTTTTGATTTTTTTCGACATGACCAAAGAACACGAGTGCCAATACCAGCCTTTTACAATTTCGCTTTCATGCCTGATTTTCTTAGAGGAGGGAATTTCAGATAATGTATAAAATGATAGCTTTTTGCAATATCACAGTCTAGGGAGCTTGACCTGTGTGCTGTGGTAGTTCAGACACTTGGCAGTAAGTTCCCTGTATTTGTGCTTTAAATAAAACCTGCAATTTCTCATCCCTCTTTCTGACCCTGGAGCAGTGGAAACAATCTGTTCTCATTGAGAAACACTGAAGCTATGTGGAACCGGAGCAAATATAAATATGGGTTTCTGTTAGAAATCTGTGAAAAATTCTGAGAGAAAATTATTTTTGAGGAAAGTCAAGTTTGTTAGATGGCCAGAATCTGGCGTTTCTGAATCAAAAAAGGAAAATGCTTTGAAAAAGAGGGTACATGGTTCAATGATGAACGGAAAGCAACAGTTATAAATTCAAAACTATACATACTAATCAGGAAATGGACAACCAAGGTAGACTATATTAGAAGTGGTATAAACTCAATAAGGAATTTAAGACCTTCAGGGGCAAATCTATGGCTAGAAAAGCTATAGGACACTGTGGAGTTGAAGGATATCTCTAAGGTGATGAGTAGAGTACCAGGATCCCTACCCCAGGGCAGATCAGGTCCACTGCAGTATCTGGCTGCCGAGCGCTTCTGGCCATGGCTGGTGTTCATGGAGCCGCCTGCAGTGTCATTCACCAGAGTTCATGAGTGTTCCTCGATGGCATAGTCCAGGTCAGAGCAGTGACTTAGTTGAGAAGATGCAATCATTGATAATGACAGGATTGCTTTTAAGAAGTAGTATTCTGTCCTTAGGACATGCAGGTTAACATGACAATATGGGAGAACGGAGAAAGCAAACAACAGTACTGTGGCACATCTTTGAAGAGGTACCTCTTGTTGTAGCACTCAGTAATTTTCTTCTGTTGACATAAATTAATACAAAATTTTAAGATGAGTAAGTCTTCTCCTTTGTAGCTGAACAAAGAGCCTATGGTAAATAGTTTTATTGATTCAATGCCCAAACTGGTAAGTCTAAAGGAAGGAAATTTGGGATTGAACATTTTCAACAAAATTTTTTAAATCCTCCTTCTTCCTTTATGTTTTATTCTGAGTCCCTCTATTTTTTTTCTATTCAAAGTGATAATTAGTTTAAATATCTTTTTAAAACCATTGAAAATTAACCTAAATTAAAAATGTTTAAAACATTTTTCTTTTTTCTTTTTGAGATTACTGCACTGAAATATTACTGACCCCTTCAAAGTTTTTGTGACTGTTTTTGGTTGAAGGAACTAGTGAAATTTATCCAAGCGTTACAAAGACGCTGTGTGTGGCTACAGTGTTGGGAAGGGCTGACAGGACTCTTGGAGGTCTAAACAGGTGAAGCCAGCACGCACTTCTGAGTATTACTCTAGTGAGACAATAGTATGATGTTATGTACAGAGCTGGTGTAGACATGTTTAAAAGGGTCCTGAAAAACTGGTGAGGTTGCACAAAGTGCCAGAAAGATTATTCATGGAGTGTACAGGTCATGCATAATGTGGAAGCTGCTTTACAAATGATGTATGTGTTAGAAATCATATGTAAACAATATTTTGCTTTGTCTTGTGCTAAGGACTGCCTGGAAATGCTCAGACTCCCCGTGCTGCAAATGTAGGCTTTTCACAGCGTTACCAGGAGTTGGTGCGTGTGTTTCATCACTGGTGCTGATGACTGAACTAACTTGCTCATTAACTGCTGGACAGCTCATTAATTTTTCAATGAACTTTTTTTCCTTGCCTTCTAGGTTTATGATGAATGTGACTTGGGAAGGTAAAGATTTGTCCTTCACAGCAGATGGTTATCAGGCACATCCCAGGCTGGTGGTGATAGTATTGAACAACAATCGCGAATGGGAAAAGGTGAGCATTACCTCTGGGTGAAAAACGTGACAGGAGGTAGGAGAGACTTAGGTAGAACCCTATTAATGACAAGTAGACAGATTAATGTCATGGATGTCAATGATTATGTTCTGCTGTAGCAGGTTTGTCACAACAGTTCAGAAAAGATAATTTTACCTTATTCTGAGTAGGTCTAAGGAGTTTTAACAGGGAAAGCAACATATCAGGGAAGATAAGCCACGTGGATTTCAGAAGTTTTCTGTGAAATGCACCTTGCATTTCTTCTTACACTTTAGTAAAATAAAATGTATAACTCAAAAAGCTCCAGAAACTTGGGCCTTAACTACTTATATTTGGGTGAATTTGTATATCTTCACAACTCTAGTCCTTTTATTTGCTTGGTGTTGTACTCTCTGACAGATTTTAAAGTACTCTTTTAAAAAAAAAAAAAAACAAACCTGTGAAATTTCTGTTGAATTGACGGATAATCCCTATAACGTTTGCCTAAAAAAAAAATCAGAATCTTGATTTGTGTTGTCCTGGTAGGCAAGTGATCTCCATAAACCTCTATATAGACTAGAAGGAGAAGTGTTAATATCAGAGTTAATTGTATATGCAAGTATTAAAAGAAAAAGCTTATCATGAGAATTTTTTCTTTAAAACTGCTACCTCAGCCTGTGATTGTTTTGGCTCTGAGTTTTGCAGGTTATCTGTGGTCCCATATTTTAAAACAGAGGCCCTTAGAAACTGTTTACAATATGGAACTGTAGGAAAAAGTACATCTGTATCATCCACCAGTTTTATTTCAAATTCAGAAAGCATGATCCTGCATTATCTAAATTGCTGACAAAAATCTACAAACTCTTTTTCTTATAGTTTTAGGATCCCACAAAATCAACTTAAAACTCCAGTTTGTAAGACTGCAAGACTCTTCATGATGTTGAATAATAACGACAAAATAAGAATTACTGAAGGACATCTCAGTAAATATGCTAGTCACGCAAAAACACAGAGGACACTACAGAGAGTAGTCCTAGATTATGTTATGTATTTCTTTATGTTCATTTGATGCAAATTTAATTCTCTGGATAAATTTAATCCTATTCAAATGTGTCAATCTGAATCTTTGGAGGAATCTTTTGCTCAGTAACCATTATGAAAATTTCTTACCCTATTTTAAAATTCTTCAACAGTCTGCATATCATATATAATATTCTGCAAAAAAATATTATACCACTCAGGGAATATTAGTATGAGGCATCAAAGGGAGAAAATGTTTAGAGAGGCAGCCAACAATGCTTATGGTATAATAATTTCATATATTTTATGTCTTGAAACTTCTCTGAAGAGACCATTCAAAGGATAAGGGGAGATAAATTTGATGTTTTTGAAAAATGAGCTAACAGCAGAAAGAAATGCTGCCTGTATGAACCGACATTATTTCTAAGAAGTAACTTCAGCCTGTTTTAACCTTCAGGTGACTCCCCTATGAGAGAGTGGAACATTTGGTGCAGGTTTTGCTGTATCTAACTGTGTATGTTGTATGGCAGCAGTGCATGCTCCACCTACTGCGCGGGACTACAAGATTCTCTGTAGGCTGATGCTTATGTTGCCTCTGCACATTTTTCCGGCTGGTAAATCCCTTCCTGCTCATTGTTGTGTGTGAGGGGCTTCTAGGAGGATAAAAAGAGTGACTGAAGGGAGGCTCCTGCCCAGAAAAAAATTTATACATCTGCTTCTAGCTGCCCCTTTGCTTTAGAGCCCTTTTGGTAGCAGGCCAGATGAGTTATTTGGTAGAGACAGCGTGCCCCTAGCTGCAGCTTTCATGTCTGCTTCTCTGTCGTAGGACTGTGGGAAGGGGGCCAGGTTTAATTATGTCAGAGGGGAGAAGTGAAAGGCGGCCAAGAACGGGCTGTCACCACCAGAATTATTCTTCTGACCACAAGCTGATCCATGCCTCTGTGGATGAAGACAAATAAACTGACTAATCAATTATCCTGGCAAGCTGGATGTAGCTCCGGGCCATCTCAGAGCACCCCACGTTTATATCAGCAGAGCATCGCTGTGCGCTTCAGAAATAATAGGACAGTTCCTCTGACTTAGAGACGTGAGAAGACCCATGCCCACCCCCTGGTTTATTTGAACATCTCTCTAGTGTTGTCTTGACGTCCTTTCCAAGTTGCATTTCTAACTCCATATCTCTTAGCCAATTTCTTTCTCCTTTTTCCTTTCTCTTTGCACTGTTTTGCTCAATTTCAAAACTGTCAAAGTTACTCATCTGAGATCTAACATTTCCTGCTCTGTTTCCAGACAGGCGCATGCTTTTACTTCCAATTACAGTATTGCAATGAGTATCACAGAATTGTTTTATTGAAGTCTTATTAAATATTCTCAATCCTATATGGAAAACATCAGGTCCTAGAATCTAATTAAATGATTTACTCATGTGAAAAACTGACAATGCAACAGCCTGCTAATCCTTGTAATGTAACTGATGTACATAGAAATTGTGAGTAGCTACTTTATTATTTATGTAAGAAAGAGTAATTGTGTTTTATGGAAGATTTTTTATCCAGTATTCTCCTGAAAACTTAAGATTTAATATTAAAACTCAATTTTATTTGGTCTTAGGATAATAATCTGCTTTTACTTAAATACAATATTTCCTTGGTCTCAAAATTGATATACTTGACTCGAGGCTTGAGGTTATAGAAAATCCATTCAACCATAGTTGAAGAGCATATATCTTACCCCTAGGAAAATAAGTTCCTTTTCCTTTACAAACCACTCATTATCAAAACTTTGAAGTGGTAACTTCACATATAAGTGGGGTTGACTGAGGGATTTGTCCCATATCAGATTCTGAAAGAAGCTGGTTGGATGATAATAGTTTGAAAACTGAAAATCACTTTTGGGCATGTTCA